AGAGAAACAACAAGCTCAAAACCAACGACGAGTACAAAGGTAACTCGGACGCCTGAAACAGTAAGCACTACACCAACCACAAGCATGACACCGTCTGCAACACCGGCTGCATCAACCCCAACCCCAACACCAACAATGACCAGAAGACAATCTTCTACAGAATCTACAACCATGACAGTCTCTGAATTTTCAACCACAACCACAGCAAAATCAGTTTCACCATCAGTAAAACCACCAACATCAACACCAACGCCACTTTCAGCCACATCTCGAACAACCGTTACAAGCAAACATGTCACCAATAGTGCTGTAACACCCACTGGCTCTACAGCAGCTACTATCTCTGCAACTGAAACAACTGAATCACAGTCAACCTTAATTCCATCTTCAACCACCTCCCCATTCACAAAACTCTCTACAACAACAACCGCTTCACTTGCTTCAATTGCATCACCAAATGTAACATCACCTCAAATCGCAACAAATTTGCAATCATCAACATCTACAATTACTCGAATCCCTCCAGCTACATTTACAAGCATAACGTCTGTGAGTTCTCCTACCTCTGGGATTCTCACCATAAATCAGTCTGCCACAACTGTCAATAAATGGAGTTCAACTACTGCCGTCACTGTTCCAGTCACCAGAACTGCATCAGCAAGTTCTGTGTCTACAACTGCGATCAAGATGCCGTCAACGTTTTCTCAACCAACACCGACTGCTTCCTCTGTGCATACGACTGGTTCTCCTAGCACAAGCTATTCATCTGCAACCACAGAATGTTTCTGCGTTGTAAATGGAACTTGGTATTCTCAAGGTAATTTGTTTTTTGCTTTTTTCACCCTGACTCTTCTGTACGTTATGGGATCCCTCTGCTTTATGTCTTCTTAAATCATAAAACTTTTCATTTTAAACTCTCTTTGTTATTAAATTGCTCTTTGAGTTACATCCCTCTCTGTTTATTTTCAAAATCAACCTGTTCAGAGAATGCTATGACAGATCTGTGAGGCAGGTGGGACTTGAACCCAGGCCTCATTGACTAGAGGTCGGGAGATTGCCACTGCATCACAAGAGCCCACTCATGGTCCTTCTCTGGACCCTCAGGTAGGACTTACTTCCGGTTTCGTACTGGCTTTTTCATTTGCTTAGATACAACATCATATCAGACTCTTATTATGTGAGTTCGCCTAAATTTACATCATAACAATAGCAACAAAGTGAAACTCCTTTTTGCCAATTCAACAGTTGTGTGAATTTTACCTCAATTGTTGCAGTATTATAGTATTTCTTACTCTAATGCTCATTGGCTTTAGGTCTTCTTATTCCCAACTTCCTCTCAAATCCTTTAGCATATTTCTGAATACATTTTCATCCATTCCAGTGCTTTTCCTCATCTTTCTCCTTCTGAGTTTCTGTACAATAATTCTTGTTGGCTGGTTGATCCATTTTGAACTATACATGTTATTTGGTTCTTCCTGATCCTACAATTGCTCATAGGTAGTGTGCTCAAAACAATATCCTTAACCCTAGTTTGTCTTCAAAGAATGTGTTGATAATCATTTAAGGGAATAAAAATAAACAAGGGAGAAAGAAACATAAAGATTTGGTGCTGAGGTGAAATGAATAGAGATGGTGAAATCTCATGTCAAGGATAACGCCATTGCAAACAGCACTGAGCTTCTATATAGTTGTATTTAGCCTTCTCCTCACTAAAGTCAGAAAATAATCTTCCCCTCATCTTCTTGAAGCTGGATTTTTAAGAAATTGTATAGCTGTTAACAGATCTCCGAAGCACTGATTCAAAACCAATTTGATCCCTCAGTGCTTTCTATCACCCAGTGATGGCATGACTTTTATTTCCAGTATATTAACTTGGTTATTCACCATTTTTAAGTAAAGGTGTCTCAATTGTACCTAGAAAATTGATATCTCCCACTGACATGAAGACAAAAATAAGGCAGGGAACCTGATATTTTTTGGGTCTTTAGTAGATTCCAGCCCAGAGTGTTAGATATTTATCAGATGAGGGTAAATATTCTTGGACGGCTCATCCATCTTGCTTTTGTAGAGCTGATGACTGCCAAAGCTTTGGGCCACTACAACGATTTGATTTACTAGGTACGTGACTCCCCCTCCTCTAACACACTAGCACCCCACCACACCCCAAGCATAACAAAAGAGTGGCAGAGGCAAATATGTGAAAATTCATATGCTGCTTCTTTGAGATTCTTTCCATAACATTACACGCACATGATGTTGTCAAATCGAAACATGAATTGTTGAAGTACATGGCAATTATGATTTTCTGATTGGGAGTAGCTTCCAAGGAAACAAAGACAGAGTTCAGAATTCCAATAAAGCATATCAGTATCAATCCATGTTCAAATGTGAGAAATATTGGAATTTTCAATAACTTGTTTCATATGATTAATAATTTTGAGTTCAAAATTAGATAATCATTTTTTCCTTTGAAATTAATATGCCCTACATAATCATTGGGCTGCATATGGATTTTTGCTGTTTAGATTAATAATCCTCTATTAATTTTGGCGTCTAACTTTCATTTTGCATTTAGTACTTCTCTCAATCCAATGGAAGTTAACAGTGAAAATTACAAAGATCACCATTTTTAATATTGCTATGCTGACCTTCACAGTATAATATTGCTATCCTTTATTAGGCACCATTGTGTGTGATTTCTATTACCAGTGAGTCTATGAAACTGATGTATTTCATCAAATCTAATTCAAAAACTGATCTTACATTGGCTCGCTTTGGCTGTGCAAACGGCTTGCTTTGCACGGGAAATTTGTGTAATATTGCATTGATATGATATTAATAATCTGTTGAGACTGCCACAGAATAATTGTATCACATCCATTTGTAACTTTTGCTACTTAACGTCGTGGGAAGTCCTTTTGTAAATCTTCCGTTTACTGTGTGCTATTGAGCACATTTAATTCTGAATTTTCCTTTTCTCACATTTTAGGTGAAGTTATATATAACTACACTGATAAAGATGGATTTTGCATCTTTGCAAAATGCAATGACACTTGTAGTATTGAAAAACATATATGGCCTTGTGGAACCACAATACCTGCTCCTACAAGTGCACCTGTGAGTAGTGCCAGCTTCACAACTTCACCAACTGAACCCACCACAAAAATAGAAGCTTGTCCAGATTTTGATCCTCCAAGACAGGCAAGTACATGTTACATGATAGTAATGTGGCTTAGTGGTTAGCACTGCTGCTTCACAGAGCCAGAGACCAGGGTTTGATTCCACCCTCGGGCGATTGTCAGTGTGGAGTTTGCACATTCTCCCCGTGTTTGCGTGGGTTTCCTCCAGGTGCTCTGGTTTCCTCCCACAGTCCAAAGGATGTGCAGGCTAGCTGGACTGGCCATGCTAAATTGCCCGTAGTGTTCAGAGATGTGTAGATTAGTTCGGTTACAGGGGGATGGGTCTGGGTGGGATGCTCTGAGGATCGGTGTGGGCTTGTTGGGCCGAATGACCTGTTTCTACAGTGTAGGGATTCTATGAAATACCATATTTTTGGCATCAAGACAATGCCAATTTTATTATGCAATGAGCAATTACTATGCCTGTATACAATTCAATCTCCAGATTAGTATGTTTGATGCCTAAGAATATATTCATACATAGGGGCGGGAGCAGGCCATTTGGCCCTGTGAGTCTGTTTGCAATTGTAGATCCTGACAGATCATCTACTTTAACACCATTTTCACATATAACCCCCCTTAATCCTTGATGTCATTAATAGCACAGTAATTATTCCACTAATTATACTCTAGAGTAAAATGTGTGAAATGTAATCAGTTGAACCACATTACAGTTCCTCCAACCTAAGTCAAAAGTTCTGTCTCTAGATGTACATAACATTCGATGTCAAGTTATTCAAGGTTCTGAATGAGTTATTTGATGCAGCACAATGCAGTGGTGAACTCTCAATAAAGGCCAGCACAGTACATTGTATAAGAGTATGGCATTGAAGAAGGAAAAATAGCTATGGTTAGTTGTTCAGATTATTCACTCAAACTACTTACGGTAGAAAAGTAGTAGCTGAAAATTACCAGAAGCTATTTAACAAAAGCTGGAATGGAAACAGTGCAAACTCATCACTGTATAGAGTCAGGCCCTGCTGGAAATAGTGATGATAAATATTTACAATAAATTATCCAAGAAAGGATAAAAACACTAAAAGTAAATGCTTAAATAGAACATGATAAATACTACGTATCATGCCTGCATGTGCCTCTAAACTATTTCTCTACTCATTACAGTACAATGAAACATGGCTACTCTGTGAATGTTTAATGGCAACATGCATAGAAAAGAATATCATTTCTATACAACCTGTGGTCTGTCCAACTGTTGAACCTGTTGAATGTGCCAATGGCCATGAACCTGTCAAAGTGTATGACAAAAATGGTTGTTGTTACCATTATGAGTGTGACTGTAAGTACAAAGTTGAAAGAAAATGATATTTCCTTAATGAAACTATTATACTGGTTGATTACCCTTCTCCATCTCTTCTTATCAATCATCTATTCTTTTTCCAATCCCTCAATGTTTAAATCTCTCGCCACGGCACGCTTCTACCTGATCTTAGGCCGTCTTCTTCTCATCTGGCTGCAAGACCCATCTTCGTCACTTGCCTCACCACAGTGACACTCTCTCTCATTCTCTGTCCCCATGCAACACATCGTCATACCATTTCAATTTCATATTAGCTATTTCCTTCGACGCTTCCGCAATCTTCACTAAGTCCTGATGTAACGACTCTGGATTTTATCCTTTCTAGTCGCACCAGATGTCAATAGCATCATGTTTGTGATTGGTGTAGTGGTTGTCGTTCTAGGTCCATCTCACCGCATACTATTCCCAGAAAAACTACCACTCACCAGAGATTCCAGAATTGACTGCCTTCCCTGGTGCAAGTGCTGCCTTTAAAAACACAATGTGCACCCAGACAAGCACTGTCAGTGCATGCTACCCTGCATAGCTCCTCATATTTTCTGCAGACAAGGAGAATCGGTGTCCTACTCTGCTTGCAGGATCCTGGAGCTTAGTCCAGTCCCTGAGCCGGGTATACGTCACTGAACGCGGTGTCCTTGCTGTAGCATTATACTGATAGTTAACAGTCTGGCCCAAGGTACAGTATCAAAGTGAGAAATATCCTATAAGTGGATCAGAGATGTGCCGTAATGGATCTTGGAGGCTGACAATTATCGGATGCTAATGACCATGGATGTAGGGTACGTGTGGCAAGTGCCCGTTGTGATGTTGGTGCGTTTTGTCCAACATGGAATTCGTTTGGAGCAAGCGGGGAACTCAACCGAACTAGCATTCTCTCTGGTTTCCATGTCGGGTTTTCCTGATGTCTTGATTGTTGAGTGAGTTTGGTAAGATTGCAACTGGAATATTAATGAGGCAAGTTGTGTTGTCAACAAGGAACTTAATAAGCATTTATCACTGTCCATGGCTATACACCGCTGGCTGGCAAGAATTTGGTCATCCTGCTTGTGTAAAGGGTTAAAAAAAAATGGGGCAAGATGATCTCAAAGTCAGGATGCTTGCCTAACTTTGTCGTACATGTTGCCACAGATCCCCTATAAGATTCTGCCGGTAATCTCTCTCCAGCCAGAGACTGCTTGCAAATAGAACATGAGGACAATGCAAAAAGTCAGAGAAAGAATAGTGATCATTCACTGATAGATTGAACAACTGTATCATATTCAGTTGTTATTTTCATCAGTGTTTTGTTTTTCATTTTTTGTCTTAACTTTTACAAATGAAATGCTAATGCCCACCTTTTGTCGGGGTTTCATTCAGTAGGTTTTTTTTAACATCAGTATCAAAAACCTGGCAATGAAGTACCTGAACAACCTTTTTAAAGAAGGAAGATAAAGAAAAGATCCCTGCAGTTAATGTGTCATTCTTGAAGTGCAGTCTCAAGTATAATTAAGCAAATGTGATAAAAATTTTCAGATTTCTCACAATCAACAATGTGATGATGGCCATATATTTTAGCAGGTGATGTTGGTTGGGAGCTGAATGTTGGCCAAAGTATAAAAGGTCACCTTTGCTCATCTTCAGAATAGTGCCAAGGGTTTATTCAGGGTCAGTTGAGAGGGTATTACTGTTTTGATGGCCAAAGTAGTTTCGGAGAAAGCAAAACTACTGAAAATTAAGTAGTGTCACATATCTAAGATTTTGTTCTAGACTTAGCTACATTCCTATATTTGAACAATGATTGTGGTGACTAATATATTAGTGCTAACTATTGCTACACCTAATCATTTCCTATATTTTATTGTGGATAAATTTCTTTAATTGTTATGTGTGACTGTTAAGCTGCTACTTTGATGAAGTAAAAGAGAAAAAGTAGTAGAAGATGTGAATGAATTATATCACAATTAAGTTCATTTTACAAGTTATTTTGCTTTCTTTAGGAGAAATCATTTCTATATTATTGCTGAAATTAAACTGATGTCATTCAAATTTAATATACATAGGCTACTGCAATGGATGGGGAGGCTCACATTTTGTTACATTTGATGGCCAATATTACACCTATGATGGAAATTGTACCTATATCCTTATGGAAGAAACAAACCCATCACCTACCAACTTTGGTATTTACATTGACAACTATCACTGTGATACTCAAGACAGTGTCTTGTGCCCACGTGCTATTATAGTGAAATTTGAAGAACTAGATATACAGATCACAAATATTGATCCAACTGGAATTCAGCACTGGGTAAGTATAATTATGCATTTCTGTCCTTGGAAGCACTTTCCATGCGTTGACTACAATCATGCAAGTGGCTAACATAAAAGGGACTTTAAAAGTTTTTTTTATAAACACATCAGTATAAAAGGGAAATGAAACAAAGGTGAATCCCAAGTGGGGACCAAAAAGTGAACTTGCTTGCAAAGGCAGAGACTGTGGCTGAGATCATACATGTCATCTATCATAACAAATGTTACAACCAGACCGTGGGCGAGTTCCCCAGTTTGTTACAGTTCCAGAAGGATGCCCAAATTGTTAAGCTCCCAAATAAGGAGGGATGAACTGGTTCTCCTTCATTATTCACTCATCCTATTGATTGGTTTAAACAAAGTTAGTTTAAAGGAATCCCTTTCCTTGTGGATTCTTTTTCCCAGGTCCAAATGAATTCACGTTTTAAAAAAAAATTTAACCAGATTGTTTTGAATTAACAAAGAGTGAATTTATTCATTATGAAAAGTGAGAAGAATAAACAATGCAACAAACATCCAAGTGGATAAGAAATTAGGTGAGTCCAAAAAGAAAAATGTTTAATAAAAAAGTTAATGAGGATCAGTCTCTGAATTGTTCATGAAGAGCATCTGTTATTGAGTTGGTTTGGTAGCATTGACATTGGCAGATGAGCATAGAACATAGAACATAGAACATTACAGCGCAGTACAGGCCCTTCGGCCCTCGATGTTGCGCCGACCTGTGAAACCAATCTGAAGCCCATCTAACCTAAATTATTCCATTATCATCCATATGTTTATCCAATGACCATTTAAATGCCCTTAAAGTTGGCGAGTCTACTATTTTTGCAGGCAGGGCATTCCACGCCCTTACTACTCTCTGAGTAAAGAACCTACCTCTGACATCTGTCCTATATCTACCACCCCTCAATTTAAAGCTATGTCCCCTCGTGCTAGCCATCACCATCCGAGGAAAAAGGCTCCCACTGTCCACCAATCGAGCAATCGATTTTTGAGGAACAAAAACAAAGTTGCTGGAAAAATTCAGCAGGTCTGGCAGCATCTGTGAAGGGAAAAAAAAGGGTTAATGTTTGGGTCTGGTGACCCTTCCTCAGAACAGATTTCCAGACCCGAAACGTTAACTCTGTTTTGTCCTTCACAGATGCTGCCAATCCTGATGAGCTTTTCCAGCAACTTTGTTTTTGTTCCTGATTTACAGCTTCTGCAGTTCTTTCGGTTTTTAATCTGTTTTTGAGATTCTTCACTTTGTAGTTCTTTTGACCGGATTCATTTTTTATAACTGGTTTGCACTCGGACTGGGAGGGGTCCTCCTTTACCTCCAACATAAGAGTAACAATGTGATAGTTCTTTGACAGTGACCTTCATAACATGCTAATGTTCAAACTCAAAATAGTTTACATATAAGCCAGTAGAGTTGAAACTGCCTTTTTAACCCGTGTTTTATATATTTCTTCAGGGTAAAACAGCCATGTTTGCAAGAGGTGGCTTTCTGTCTAGAGGAGAGAGATAGTCAGCTCCCCACACCCTCCCCAACATCATTATTTCTCCTTGTTAAGTCTCTTCTATTGATGTTTCCCTGACAATTTACATGTGCTACATTCCATGGGCTCACACAGGACTTTTCCAGACCCTCACCGAATCTAAAGCAGTAGTTGTCTGTAGCAGTCCTCCACTTAAAACAACATTTTGTAAAGCAAAAAATATGGGTGATGGTCCATCATCATAACACTAGAGAAGTGAATGCTATCAACAGAGATGCAAGTGAAAACACATTGGCAATATTGGATAGATGATGAATGGATAAAGAGAAAAAAAGGACTTAAAAGAATGGCAGTTAACAGAAGTAGAAAAATTACTTAATTTTGATGCAAAGTATTGAAGAGAGTAAAGTTAAGAAACTATGGAGAAATTGTAGAAAGTTTCTGATCACAATCTTCCAGTCCTCCCTTAGATACAGGTTGATGCTAGAGGGCTAGTCAATTGCTAATGTTATGCTTGGTCAGAAAACATTAGTGGTGAGAAATGTTGAAACATTAATCTGGGACAAAATTAGCACTTAGCAAAGTATGTTCTAATAAATTAGTTAACACAGATTTTATAAAAGCAAAATATATTTAATGAAGTGAACCGGGCACTTTGAGACAGAAATTGAAGTAGTTGATGAAGGAAGTGTGTTTGATATTGTGAATGTAAACTGTCAATAAGCATTTGATAAAGCACTACATAATAGATTTGTCAGCTAAATTAAAGCCCAAAGTAAGGTTCTGTTACAGCATAAAGCCATAATTAGCTAAGGGGCAGAAAGCAAAAGTTCCAGTGAAGGATTGTTTTTTAGATTGTAGAAAATATTAGAATAGTCCTTGGGATGAAAGGATGAAACATATGAGTTATGCAGACAGACATGGAAAATCGAAGTAGTTCTTCTTACAGCAGAGCGCATTATGAGAAGATTTGATACTGTTCAAAATCTTAAAGGATTTTCCTAGAGTAAGTAAGGATAAACTGTTTCCAGTTGCAGAAGGTTCAATAATAAGAGGATACAGATTTATGATAAAAGAATCAAAGGTGGCACAAGGAAAGCAATTTTTTGAGTTCTTATGATCTGAAATACACTGTTTTAAAAGGCAGTGGAAATGGATATAATAATACTACTTTTTCAGAAATTGCATACATACTTGAAGTGAAAAACAGATAAGGTCTGAGGAAAAAGTCTGGGAGAGTATGATTAATTGGTTCCCTCTGCTAAAGAGTCAGCCTGGATTTGATGTCCTTCTTTGGCACTTCATCATTCTATGACTCTACATAAAACCACTTTGCTATTCAGAAAAATTGCAACTCTTTGTCTTAATTTTCAGGTAACTGTCAATGACAGCATTGTGTCACTACCCTATTCAAGAGATGATGTGAAAATCTCCAGCTCAGGCCTTAATGTGATGCTTGAAATTCCTAAACTAAAGGCATTTGTTACCTTCAATGGTTTAGTTTTTTCAATTAAACTTCCAAGTGAAATATTTGGAAATAATACACAGGGGCAGTGTGGTAAGCATGCAGATTTTTTTATAAACTCTTTGAAATAAGACATTTAGGAATGTGGGTTTTGTTTTGTGCACATTAAAGTCAACATTATTACAAATATATATGCTCCTAAGAGAAAATCTATGTATTATATTGTAATAGATATTTCAATTTCATTTGTAACTTATATTAAACTGCACTTGGAATAATATGAGTACCTAAAGAATGAATTAAGAATAACATGGAAGCCAGCTGGGTTCATTTCCTTATTTTGTGAGCTGCCAGCTGATGTATTTTCAAGAGCATTCCAACATATGTGTACATTTTCTCAGTGCTAATAAGGAGAACAGTACTCTGAGGAAAGCCAATCTGGGTTTCTTCAATGTAACTCATAGAATAATGCTGACAATGTTGGCAAATACTTGCAATACTTGAATCTGTTGGATGACATGGTAACTAGGTCAATGTTGCCTGCATAATCCAGCTAAAGCCAGAGCTTTTCTCTGAAGAAGGGTCCCGAGCCGAAACGTCAGCTTTCCTGCTCCTCTGATGCTGCCTGGCCTGCTGTGTTCCTCCAGCTCCACACTGTGTTATCTCTGACTCCAGCATCGGCAGTTCTTACTATCTCCGCTTGTTGGAAATACATTCTTTTACAGTAGACCTCTTTGCAACAAAAAAAAACTTGAGGTCTCTGGGTAAACATCCTCGCAATATTTTTACAAATCCACAGGGGGCTGAATCCCACCTGGTCACTGATCTATGACACTACTGAAAGCAATCAGTGTAGAGATTGTACTTAATTACACAAAGCGGTGAAAAGATATTTTTAATCACCTTGTTCAGAAATTTTGTTGCACATATCTAGAACAGGCTTCCTGGTCAAAGGTAGAACACTATTACCGTTCCACAAGAGGCCTACATTAAGTGAATTGCTGGGTAGTCATCTCAAACAAGTACCCTGTTGATTTACCCTTCTATAAACCATGATCACTGTGGTTAACCGTATTAACATACTGTCACCACAGTTAAGGATAGTTAATTCAGTATATATAATAATTAGTATTATGAAGGCTTCATTTTTGGGGGAAATGAAGGATTGTAAATTTATTTCAAATGGAGACACGTGAATTCTTATATTTTTAAGTTCAATGAAAAGACACATTAAACTTTTTGTGTTAGCAAGGCATTTCTTAGAAGTCACATGGTTCCAGATAATTGCTGGTCTTGTTTCCTTGACCTCACTTCAAATAAAACGTCTCACTGTTTCAAATAGGAAAGAGCTAGTTCTGTTGGAGATTGGTTGGATTTTATTTGAGCAGAAACCTGCAGGCAGAAAGAAGCTTTCCAGTTGAGCTCCCTTGTTTCTTGAAAATAACCTTTATTGTGAGTCCTCTAAACAAGTTTCATGACATTTCTTGAAATTCTGCATCTGCAAAGGTCCCCAGCAACAACTGCATGCGTTCAGTGACGTCCATTTTTGTGTGCAAGAATTTCAGACTATCAGCGATCTGAACATCTGAAATCTCATTGCCTTTTGCTTTCAAGAACTAAGACCAAAAACACACAAAAACAGTAATTGCTGGAGAAACTCAGTAGGGCTTGCAGGATCTGTGCAGAAAGGGAAACAGAGTTAACGTTTTGAGTCCAGTGACCCTTCTTCAGAACTAATAGCTAGGAAAAGATGGTATTTATGCTGATGAGTTGAGTGGTGTGAGTGAGGGGATAGGTGGAGACAGAACCCAGAGGGAGAGAGAGAGACAGAAAAGAAGGTAGACAGTCAGAGGGATTGCTGATAGCAAGCCAGGGAAGAAAGGAAGCTAGATAATTGATAATAGGGGCTATGAGTAGATGCAATCGTTCGGCTGTGCTGAAAGTTACCCATGTCAAGACAGGAATTTGGATGTGAGGGTGGATAATAGACATGGAAGGAGGTGTTCATGCTCTAAAATTGTGAAACTTGGTATTAAGTTCTGAAGGCTATAAGGTCTGTAGCTGGGCGGTGCAACAGGCCTGAGACAGAAACGTTGGTATGGCAACACTGGTATGTTGAAGTGGCAGGCAACTGGAAGCTCAGAGTCAAGTTTAGAAACTGAATACTGGATATTTTGCGTTCACCCAGTCTGTGTTTGGTTTCTTTAGTGTACAGAATACAGCATTGTGAGCAGCAAGTACAGTAGACTAGATTGAATGAAAGACAGGTAAATCGCTGCTTCACCTGGAAAGTGTATTTGCGTTTTTGGGTAGTGAGGATGAAGAAGGTAAACTGGCAAGTGTTGCACCTTCTGCACTTGCATAGGAAAGTGCTGTGGGGATGTGGAGAGGTGTTGGGAGTAGAGGAGGAGTGGAACAGGGAGTCCCAGAGGGAACAGTCTCTGCGGAATACTAACAAGGGAGGGAAGGGGACTATTTGTCTGGTGGTGCCTTCCCACTGGAGGTGGTGCGGCTACGGGGAACCCTGCAGCTACGGGACCCTATCGTTGTTGTGGGAGGTAAGAGTGGGTGAGGGAAGAAGTGTGGGAAATAGGCCGGCCATAGCTAACAGCCCTGTCAACTATGGAAGCAGGGAATCTTCAGCTGAGGTAAAGAAGGACATTTCTGAGGCCCTCCTGTGGAAGGTGGCATCATCAAAACAGATGGAATAGTTCTGAACAAAAATGTTTTTGTTTTTGTGTGTGTTTTGGATTACTTAGAGGGATTGGTATTTATATTTTCACATTACAAGCTCTGCGTGGTTCATGGATTTTTTTTATTCTGAGTCTAATATAGAGAAAGTACATATGTGTCAATTTGGGTTGAAACAGTTCAATATATGTTGTGTCCCATGGAGTAGTGGGACTTGATGAAGACAGCCCACTCATTCCATCTTAGTTGTAACAGTAACAAATATGAGATTTTACAGCTCTGTATAGTTTAGCTAGTCACTGAATAAATTTGGGCAGACCAATGTTAATACCGAAGACATCAGAATTTGAAAATACAAGTGGGCAAAAATTTGGCAGGTGAAGTATAATGTGGGAAAGAGTTAGGTGTCTACTTTGACAGGCAAAATTAGCTTTGTGGTAGAAGACAGATGATAGTAGTAGAAGACTGTTTGTGTGACTGGAGGCCAGTGACTAGCGGTCGTCCACAGGGATCAGTACTGGCTCCCTTATTGTTTGTGACATATAAACAATATAGAAGAAAATGTGGGCGTGACAATGAGTAATTTTGCAGATGACACAAAGATTGGCCAGATGGTTGACAGTGAGGAAGATAGTCTTTGGTGTTGGGAGGATATAAATGGATTGGTTGGATGGGCAGATCCGCAGCAGATGGAATTTAACCATGATACATATGAAGTGACGCACTTTGGAAAAAGGAAGAAGACAAGGGAGTGCTCAATGAATGGCAGGACATTAGGAAGCTCACAGGAATAGAGGGATATTGGGTGCTTCTCTGAAGGTGTCAGGACAGGTTAATAGGGAAAGCATATAGGGCACTTGCCTTTATCAGTCATGATATAGATTATAAGCGCATGGAGGTCATGTTGAAGCTGTACAGAACTTAGTTAGACCACAGTTGGAGGTCTATTTGCAACTCTGGTCACTGCACTGCAGGAAGGATCTGGGTGAATACAATGTGGAGCTGGAGGAATACAGCAAGTCAGGCAGCATCAGAGGAACAAGAAAGTCGACGTTTCGGGTGGGCTCCCTTTATTAAGATATGATTGCACTGGAGGGGGCACAGAGGAGATACTTCCGGATGTTGCCTTATTTGCAGCAGTTTAGCTATGAAGAGAAGGTGGATAAGGTCAGATTGTTTTCTTTAGAGCAGAGAGGGGACCTGATAGAGGTGATAAGATTATGAGAGGCATGAGCAGGGTGGATAGAAAGCAGCTGTTCCCCTTTGTTAAAAGGTCAATAACAAGGAGGCATAATTTTAAGGTGAGAGCAGGAACTTTAGTGGGGATTCAACAAAAAGGGTTTTCACCTAAAGGGTGTTAGGAAGCTGCAATACACTGCCTATTAGGTGGGGAATATCACAACCTGTAAAAAGTATTTAAACGAGCACTTGAAATGCCATAATATTCAAGGCTTTGGACTAAGTGCTGGAAATTGGGACTAATGTAGATGTAGAATAGTTTCTATCAGTGCAGACTCAGAATCATAGGCATCTACAGCACAGAAAAAGGCCCTTTGGACCCATCAAGTCTGCACCACTTGAAAACAAGTACTTAACTATTCTAAGATAGTGGGAGCTGCCGATGCTGGAGAATCTGAGATAACAAGGTGTAGAGCTGGATGA